CTGGCCCGCGCGCTGCAGGCGGCTGCCTGCGCGCCCCCGGCCGAGGCACGGAGCACAGTGCAGGCGCTGCTGAACCACGGCTCTCCCACCGTGTGGCCGGACGCCTTCCCCAAGGTAAGGCGGGCCCCGCCGAGCTGGCGTGAGCCTCCAGTGGCCGAGGGACACCCCTGGGGCTTTAGCACGCTGGTCCCAGGCCTGGAGGGGAACAGCGTGCTTCACTGTGAAACTTCCATAGGCCCGGACCTCTCCTGGGCAGCTTCTACCAAGGTTTGCATTTCTACCAAGCTCCAAACTAAGACCAAGGCTGCTGGTCTTGGAGCCCCACTTAGAGGAGCAGAGGTTTAGGAACCTCCTATTGGCTGGGGTCACCGAAAAGTAAGAGGTTGGGATGACCATAAGTACACAGAAAGTGTTCTTTTAAAGTAGTCACTTGGGGACACCTGGCACTTTTCCAGGATGCCCCCGAAATATTTTGTCAGCTCATCTTTCCAGGATGATGAAGGTCAACCTTTGCTGCATCTGGATCTGAGTTGAAACGAAGTTGCCCAACCGGACGGGCCACCTTACTAATGGTGGCACTTTACACCTTTGCACACGACTTTCAGTCAGCGTTCACTCCACTGCTCTGCAACCTGCCTGCAGACACTGCCTCCCTGCACCCCAGTTCAACCTGGGATGTGTCCCATCCTAGGTCACCACTTGGTGGAGACCTCAGCTCTGCCCGGCTTTTGCCCTCGCGGGCTTGACTTTTAGCATCTTGGCACTTTTTCCAGCTGCCAGATTTACCCTAAAGTAATAATAATGAGCAAAGATTTCCCATCAGAAAAAATACCCAAAAGATTGAATGTGTTTCCAAAGGTCCCCTAAATACTGGTTGGGTGGAGAGAGTGTCTTCCCCCAAAGATGTTGAAGGAAATCATCCCATTGGGTCTAAAATGTTGGTGTACTTAACTTAAACATTATCACTGCCACCCAAAGCACACCACTACATACGAAAGACATATTTTGGTCTGGTGAGTTTTGAACACATACCTGAAGAGCCATTGATCCTGAACAACAGCATTCCAGATGGTCCCAAATGGTGCAATTCCCACGTTTTCCTCAAACCCTCACTGGACGTTATAGACGTGCTCGGAGCAAAGCCCGAAAAGTAGAAACCACGGGGACGGCGCCCCAAGTTTCCTCACTTGAAAAACACGATGCTGTCTCGCCCTGGCTTTACGGAATTCTCCCTCGAGGCTCCACCAATGCATGGATTTCAGCGTTCAGACCCGAGACTGGGGCGGGATGAGGCCAGCATTCTCCTGTTCCCCAAGACCCTCTCCATTCGTAACTTACGTCCTAGGGCCGGGGATATGGCTCAGCCGCACAAGCGCTTGCTTGGCAGGTACAAGGTCCTGAGTTTGATTCCAGGTACCAAAAAAGAAGAAAAACAAAACTTACATCCGAACATTTCCGGTTACTTAGCTGCCCACCCTGCAACCTGAAATCCAGACTCCCCCACTCTGCAGTTCATGTCGTGTCTGCATTAAGCCAAGATATACCCCTCCTGCTCTGGTCATACAGGAAACTGCAGAGCTACGGGGAGCGAAATACACTCCACGGGCTGGGCCACGGGGGAGCTATCCCGGCAGTCTCTCATACAGAAAAAGAAGAAAGCGCCGTGTGCCTCAGGGGTGGTTAGGAACAGTGCTTGTTAGTTTGGCTTGCTTCGTCTTTGCCCAGGTGTCAGCTTTGGCGGCCGCTTCTCCCCGGTGTCGCCTCTGGGGACCCCTGGTGGCCTGAGCTGGCTCCAGGCTGTGGGAAGGCTTCTGTGACCTGGAGATGAGGGTCAAGGACCCCTTCCGGGTCAACCCCAGTGCTGTGTCAGCCACACGTGAATGAGAGGTCGTCAGCACCGCCGGCCGTCAGGTCAGGCGTGCATTTGGGTTCACCGGACAGTGTCAGAGCAGGGGTGAGAAGTACTTGGCACCTCATGATAGCCAGATCTCTAGTCAGTTCCGCACCAGTGAGGAGAGAATTGGACTTTCTTTGAGAAATCTGATTACCTGGATGCTTTCACCATAAAGCATTGCCCACCATTACCGGCGCTGAGCTTAGGACAGGTAGGCCTGCAATCAGTGTTGACCGTGTGGGGGATTCCAGCCGCCCCTGCCTGAGGTCTGGACCTCTTTACATTGACATCCCTGTACCTCTAGGGGGCGCCCCGACGCCTGGCCTGTCTGTACCACTTGGAGGATCCTAAGAAAAGCGACATTCTAATCTTGACCCTGGACAACCGTGCAAAATGCGGAGAAGAGCCGGAGACAGCATCTGCCCTTGCTCAGGCGCCCTGTGAGTGTCCCCGAGCAAAGGGATCCGATCACCTGGCAGGACATCAAAGGGACGCGTGGCCGGAGACCAGCACACTCGCGCTCTGCATACAGGACTCAGGGCCAGCGAGGAGAGCGCGGAGCTCTTGGGTGTCACGGGGCACGTGGCCCATGGGCAGCAGCCGTGCTTTAAATAGATGTAAGGAGACACCCGTGGAGCTCAGAATTACTGAGGCAAAAGGTTTCACAGCAAGCTGTGACATAAATCACAGTTCATGCCCAGACAAAGGCGCCATTCCCCCAGCAGGGGGACACAGAGCCTCCATCTGAGCCTGGCACACGGCTGAGCCTCCAAAATCAAAGGGTGGCCCGGCTTCGAAAGCCAGCGTGTTGACAGTGCCAGGCCGGCCTGCCCGGCTGCCCACTGCTTCCTGCCAGAGGCGCCCGGAGATGTCTGGAGACATGCCGGGAGCCAGCACCAGTGACCTGCTGCAGCCGGGTTTGAATTCTGGACACTGTCAGGGCAAGACCCGACGCCCAAAGGGCAGACTGACAGCCGGAAACGTGGGGCCGACCGTGTCCAGCACCTGCCTCGGCTCACCCTGTGCATTTCCTGCTTGATTTGGAATAAAGGGCTCTGCTCTCTCTGCCTGCCCCTTCCAACCTGGAGGAGGAATCGGAGAAGCAGCGGGGAAGCTCAGGTCCCCGCCTTCGCCCCTCCAGCCGTTTCAAGAGGGCATCTCTGGTTGAAGCCTAGGAGGGAAGGTTGGGGCCACAGAGACTCTGGAAGGCTCCCATCCCGGCCTCTCGGAGAGGGACGCAGCCTCTGCAGTCACAGAGCGGGAGCCAGCTCCTGGCCCCACGTTCCTGGACCCCAACCACCACCTTCTCAGCCTGTGCCCTCCATGCAGGTGGGAGCTGCCTCCGGTGGGCGCTCGGATTAAGTGGCCAGCTCCATGTGCCCCCTGATAGCACCTCCTCCCCGACACAGTCGCCATTTGCATTAAACCTGTGTGACCACACATTCTCCTCCAACCCCCCCCAGGCGGGCCCCCTCCCAAGCCTTCTCCGACTGGGATTGCCCCTGCAGGTGGCCCTGAATAACTCAGATGGGGACCTGCCCATGTGCCAGGGCATGGGGGACAGCACCAGCCCTGAATGATTCCCCCTCCCAGGAGTATCTCTCAAGTCCTTATTATTTATTCAACAAATGTTTCTTGGAAACTTCTGTGCTCGAATTACAATAGGGAATGAGAGCATAGGCACTTCCTGCCCACGTGGTGCTGCCTATCTGGTGGTTAGACACACACACACACACACACACACACACACCAGTGTGAAGTTGCCATGGCAGGAAGCATTGCAAAGCTTTGCAAAGCACTGCAAAGAACCAATCATCTTAGAAGCGCCGGGCAGGGCCAGACCTGGCAGGGGGCTGAGGCACTGCCTGAGCGCATGGTGACTGGGCCAGCTTCAAAGCTGAAGACTCGCTGTGTCCAATGGGAGGGGATTCTGGACAAAAAGAACAAAGCGAGCCAATGTCCTGGGGCAGAACGTGCCCTGCAGTGTGTGCCGACCGAAAGAGGACCAGCAGCTGGAGGGAACCTGGCAGGGAGAGCCAGCGAGGACTGGCAGCAAGGGAAGGACTTCATTAAAGACTTGGCCTCTGCCCTCAGGACAGCGGGCATCTGCGCGGCCATTGTACGTGGAGGAGGTGATATAATCAAATCTGTGTTTGCAAATGATTTCTCTGCTCCACAGAACACGTGGGAGAGGAGAAGGCCGCAGGCAGCGTGGAGACGGGGAGGGCTGCAGATGCCTGAACAAGGAGGGCAGAGGTTGGTGGGGAAAAGGACAGATTCCAGACCCGTCTGCAAACCCCTGGCCTGGCCTCCCTGCTGGACACTGACGACGCTAAAAAAATAGCTGGTGCACACCGCAGTCCCTGCACTCGGGAGACTGAAGCAAGAGGATTGCCACAAATTCGAGGCCAGCCTGGGCTATGGAGTGAGTTCAAGGCCAGCCTGGACTACCTAGTGAGACTGTCTCAAAAAACCGTAAAAACGAAAGCAGGGAGCTCACTTTGTCTTGTGTTCGTCTTCATACCTAATTCCAGATCGAGGTCGCGTGACTTCCCCATCCAGCCCGATCTCGCGGTATTCTGGTGCGGTCTCGGGTAGAGGTAGTCAAAAGCCAGGCCTGATTTCCGGGCTCCCTGTCCCCAGGGAGGGCGACGCGGGACGAGCGCGCCTGTTTTCTTGCCCTTGTTTGATTCCTCCATCTACATAGAAAGCAATGTGCCTGTGTGATTTTTTCCCCTTAATTTTCTTTCTGCCGCCTCATTAGCTGAAGAGAGGGCGCGTGGACACTAATGACATCAGCATGTCAGAGTAATGTGGCAGCCGCCTCTCTGCAGACAGCAAGGAGGCAGCGGAGATTTTTAAACTGTGTTGGCGTAAAAATAATGAAGGCAGCCAGCTGCCTGCCAAACATGAGGGGCACGACGCAGAGGGTCGGGGAGGAGCGGGAGCCCCAGAGAGGTGGAACAGAGGAGACAGAAAATGAATTCCCAGAGACAGGCAATAAGACTTTGTCACAGTCGGTGACCCGGGGCGGGGGCGGGGAGGCGGCGCCAGGGAAGGCAGCCCTGCCCGGGCAGGGACAGGCAGGGGATAGCCGTACCGCATGTGGTCCCTGCGAGCCGTTTAACGTCTTGCAGAGAAGTGACAGTGCCAACCGGGGTCGCCGCAGGGTCGGGGTTAGCAAGGCCCAGGGAGGCAAGAAATGCCCGGGATGTGGTCT